TTGGTGTCAAAGAGTTAAATATCGGCAGTATCATGTGGTTCGAGTAATTGAGTATTTTGAGAAGCCAAGAAACAGTAATGAATATCATTGTTAGCACCATTAGTGCAGGAGACAGGTCTGTTTTATTCAGGAGATAGGTCTATTTTATTCACCTGTGTGTGCCCAATGCCAACCACAATGCCTGGTACATGTAGTAGATAGTCAATAAATAATTTATGAATGAAAAACTATAGGTCTTTGAGGTCCCATGAGACTTTGTGGTTTTCATGTGAAAAACTAGGTTTTGAGGTTCGGTAAGGATTTGGGCAAATGTTAAGGGAGACTCTCTTCTTGTGAGGCCTTAAGTTCTTTTTAGAAGACTAATCCATATTGGATTTTTCAGCAAAGCTCTTTTATTTTCAGTGCAAGATATCATTAAATAATAAAAATATTTACTACACTGGCTTCTCTGTAAAAAGTTCCTCTTCTTCAACCCTTACAAAGATCTATGCAGAGATGAAAGCCTCGCTGCGCCCTACTTCTTTTTTTTTGGGAGAACTCTGCAAAAGAGCTCTGCCAGTAGCTAAGAACTGTCACATTCTGGAGACTGCTTTTCTACTTTCAATTGCTCTGCGTACAACTTTTATAAACAAGATAATTGATGTGGTCATCATCATGTGATAACTTTTCCTTTCTCATTTGGGACTGGAGAAGTGTCCTTTTTCTGTGCCCTACAGGGGTTTTACAAAATAGCATGTAATGTGGCCTAGACTCACATCTGTGTCTTAATAACTTATATAAATTATCTTGTTGGAATGAAACAATCATGAAGTGTTGTAATAAGGCAGATGTTTAAGAAGCCTCCAGGTGGTTCAGGATTGCCTAGAGGTCTTTGCACAGATATGAAGAAAATGTATTTGTTGTATCATTGTCTAATATTACTGCTTCAGGCCCTTTTGTTACCATGCACATTTCCTGCAGTATCTAGTTTCATCCACACAGTGGTGCTAGAAAACCAAGAAATGATGATTGTTTTCCTCCTAATCAGTAGAATACATATTTCTAGCTGTTCCTTGTAAATAAGTTGTGTTATATGTTTCCTCAACCTCTATCAAATCTGTCATAATTAGGACTTTTACCTGTGAAATGTTTCCATCATCTCTCAACCAGATTGCAGTAGCTTTCTAGTGGATATTCCTGGATTTACCCTGCTTTATTCCAATTTGTTTTCCATATTATAGTTATAAGTACTTCTTTATAAACTCAAATCTGAACTTTACTCTTGTGCTTAAAAACCGTTAATGAATTCTTTTAAATGGAATTTGTCAACAAAAATAAATACAGGCCGTTCATAATCCAGTTCTTGCCGAGTTTTCGTTTATTGCAACCTTTCCTGTACAAGTGCCCTTGTTGCTCTGCATTTCAGCCAGTGTGGCCTTCTTTGAACAGTGTGAACTTCTTTGTGTTCTTTGAACCCAAGTTTTTCTTCCTACTTTTTACAGATTTTCCTTCTGTCTGGAATAAGTAGAGTTGTGGGTGTGCATGTATATACATGTATTTTTTATTTTAAAAATATATTAAATTGATACATAATTATGGGATTTTGTGTTATATTTTGATACATGCATACAGTGTGTAATGATCAAATCAGTATTTAGGGTGTTCATCACCTTCAGTATTTACCATTTCTTTGTGTTGGGGACATTTGAAATCCTCTAGCTATTTTGGTACTCGCTGTTTTGAAATATACAATATATTGCTGTTAACCGTAGTCACCCAACTGAGCTGTCAAACGTGAGAACTTAATCCTTTTAATTGTATGTTCGTAGCCATTAAGCAACCTCCCTTCATCCCGCCACCCCTATCTTTCCCAATCTCTGGTAACTATCTTTCTACTCTCCCCGTCCATGAAATCCACTTTTTTAGCTGCATGTATGATGCCTTTCTGTACCTGGTTTATTTTATTTATTTATTTATTTATTTATTTATTTATTTATTTATTTTTGAGATGAAGTCTCGCTGTGTCCCAGGCTGGAGTGCAGCCACGTGATCTCGGCTCAGTGCAATCTCCGCCTCCTGGGTTCAAGCGATTCTCATACCTCACCCTCCCCAGTAGTTGGAATTACAGGCATGCACTGTCACACCCAGCTAATATGGTTTTCATATTTTAGTAGAGACAGGGTTTCACCATGTTGGCCAGGAAGGTCTTGATCTCCTGACCTCGTGATCCACCTGCCTTGGCCTCCCAAAGTGCTGGGATTACAGGCCTGAGCCACGGTACCCGGCCCTGTGCCTGGTTTATTTCATTTAACTTAATGACTTCCAGTTCTATCTGTGTTGCTGCAAATGACAGAATTTCATTCTTTTTATGGCTGAATGGTATCTCAGTGTGTGTGTATACTACATTTTCTTTCTTTCTTCATCCTTTGATGACCACTTAGGTTTCCTCCATGTCTTGGCTTTTGTAAATAGTGGTGAAGTAATCATGAAAGTGCGGATATTCCTTTGATATACTATCTTTTGTTTTGATAAATATTCATTTGTGGGAGTGCCGATTGTGGTATAGTAGTTATAGTTTTAGTTTTTTGAGAAATCTCTTTACTGTTTTCCATAATGGCTGTACTAATTTATATTCCCACTGACAGATTATGCATTCCCTTTTCTCTGTGTCCTTGCCAGCATTTGTTACTTTTTTTTTGTATTTTTTTGAAAATAGCCATTCTAACTAGAGGAAGATGATATCTCATTGTGATTGCGATTTGCATTTCCTCAATAATTAGTGATGTTGAGCATTTTTGCATATACCCGTTGGCTATATATATATATATATTCTTTTGAGAAATGTCTATTAAGATCTTTGCCCTCTTTATACTGGGATTTTTTTTTTTTTTTTTTTTGCTTCAACAGCAAAAAAAGTTTTTCATTCCTTATGACTGAATAATTTGCAAATATTTTCTCCCATTCTATAAGTTGTCTCTTCACTAGGTTGTTTGTTTCTTTTGCTGTGCGAAGATTTTTGTTTTGTTTTATTTTTTGGTTAAGTATAATCCCATTTGTCTTTTTGTTTTTTTTGCCTATGCTTTTGAGGTCTTAACCATAAAATTTTTGCATAGACCTATATCCTGAAGCATTTCTTCTCTGTTTTCTTTTGGTATTTTTATAGTTTTTGAGTTGATTTTTGCATATGGTGAGATTTTATTTTTATTTTAATTTTATTCTTCTGCTATGGATATCCAGTTTTCACACCATTTATTGAAGAAGGTATCCGTTTCCCAGTATGTGTTTTCACACCATTTATTGAAGAAGGTATCCTTTTCCTAGTGTGTGTTCTTTGCACCTTTGTCAAAAATCAGTTGGCTATAAGTACATGGATTTATTTCTGAATTCTCTATTCTGTTCCAGTGACCTGTATGTTTGTTTTTATACCAGCACTATGCTGTTTTGGTTATTATTGCTTTGTAGTATATTTTGAAATCAGTTAGTATGATGCCTCCAAATTTGTTCTTTTTGCTCAGTATTACCTTGGCTATTTGGGGTCTTTTGTGGTTCCATACAAATTTTAGGATTGCTTTTTTCCTTCCTGTGAAGAATGTTACTGGTATTTTGATAGGGATTGCATTGAATGTATAGATTGCTTCGAGTGATATGGTTATTTTAACAATACTAATTTTTCTGATCCATGAGCATGAGATGTCTATTTGTGTCCTTTTCAATTTCTTTCATCAATGTTTTGTAGTTTTCTTATAGAAGTCTTTCACCTTCTTGGTTAAAATACTTTTCCTTAAGTTAATGCTTTCTTATCTTTTATATCTTGGCTCAAACCTTGGAAAGCTTTCATTAATCTCCCCAAGTAGAACTCTTACATTATGTGTTCTCATGTTACCCAGTGATTATTCTTTATCACAATTTAATTATATAAAATTTATTTCATAAATGTATATAATTTATATGATTATTTGACTAATGCCCATTTCCTCACTGTATCATAAATGCTAATTGGCAAGATTCCATTCTTGGCTCATCACTGTGTCATCGATGCCTATTGAAATTTTATTTATTTATTTTTAAATTTTTATTAGTTGCTATATAAATGAATATAAGTCAGGCAGGACTCAAAGTGGTATTGGAAGTAGGAACCGGTGAGCATTTGGGGGAAGAAGAAAACAGTTGCAATCAGAATACAGTAAAATGAGTTTTATATTAGGGAAGAAGAAAACAGTTGTAATCAGAATACAGTAAAATGAGTTTTGTATTAGGGTAGGATATTGGCCCAGCATAATCCATTTATATGTTTCCTGTTGAGGCAGAAATTAAATCCAGATCAGGAGCAGTTCTGAGCCATAAAAGTTTCCATCTTCATGAAAGGGCAGGAGGAGTAGGAGGAAGAGATCACATTTGCTAGATTTAAACTTAGGGAAGCAGCTAATGCTTAAGTGAAGAAATCCCTGTTCTCTAAGCAGGAGATCTTGTATCTAGTCCAACTGTGATACTGTTTTGCTCTGTACCCTTAGAAAAGATGTAGTATAACGTTGGAGAAGTCATTATTTGTGTTTACATTTATTTATATAGCTGTATAATGAGATTTTAAAAGTTAATTTCTTAAGTTGTATTAAAATGAATGAGATAATAGTATATAAAAACATTTTTAAAGTATATAAACATTTCATAAATTGGGCTTAACATTTTCCTGGAAATGGGAGATTCTTCATTTTAGAATTTCTATTCTTTTTATTCATAATTATTAGAGGTGCCTAAAAGAGGGTCATGACATAAAATGCCCTACTTCCTGTGGCCCCTGTATTGTAAGTCTTGTAAGGACATGGGACCGTATCAGTTTTACTTACTGTTTATCCTCTGTACACAGTACCCAGAAATTATCTTTGAAAGAATCATATACTGAATTGTCCTGAAGGCCTTTGTGACTGGCATTCTGTGGTTTCTTTGCCTTCTAGGCATTCTACAGAAAGAAACTATCTGAGGCAAAACTTTTGATGTTTATGTTTGCTTTCCTTGTATTTCAGCTGTGGCAGAGGTAAAACTTCGAGATGATCAATATACACTGGAACACATGCATGCTTTTGGAATGTATAATTACCTGCACTGTGATTCATGGTATCAAGACAGTGTCTACTATATTGATACCCTTGGAAGAATTATGAATTTAACAGTAATGCTGGTAAGAGAAACATGTATGTAATAATAAATCTATGTATTAATATCAAGCAAATTTGATAATTAAGTTTCCCTTTTGAATCTAATATCCAGAGAAGTGAGGTGCACATACTTGTAGTATATGGAATCCTATCTATGTAATACTCCATTTCTTATTTCAATTTTAATTTTTCTCTTTGATCTTGTTATTTACACTTACCTCCACTCTCACCATTGGGCAACAACTCTCATGTATTTTATATATTGTTAATACTGATGTAACTGTTCATGTCTCCTTTTCCTATGTGAGGTATTGTCCCCAACTATAATGGTGAATTTGCTTTTGTTTTAGTTTTTACTTTATGTTTTTTTAACTATCTTAATTTGTACAAACATTTAGGATTGTTTTGTTTATACTGAATTGATTCTTTTAGCATTATAAAGTATCTCTGTTTATCTCTAGGTTCTGTGAATAATTTTTGTCTTGAAATCTTCTTTGGTATTAATACAGTTAATTCTGGCTTTTTGTAAATTAGTATTTTTCTTCTGTCCTTTTTCTATTTATCAGTGCTCTTGTTTTTAAAGTATGTGTCGTAAAGAGCATTTGGTTGGCTCTTATTTTTTCCATATGACAATCTCTCTCTTAATTGGAGGGCTTACATTTATACTTAATTTAATCTAGTTCCTGATATTCTTGGGTTGATATTACCATCTTGCTCTTCTCATTATGCCCTGTTTGTTCTTTGTTCCTTGGTGTCTCTGTTCCTACTTTTATGCGGGAGGAATTAATCACAGTTTTTCTTTTTTAAAAAATGTCTTTAAAACTTGATTTAATTTCCTCCTTTGGCTTTTTATTTAAACCAGTTTGTATTATTTTTTAAATGGTTGATACAGAGATTATAGTGTTTTCCTTGACTTACCACAGTCTGCCTCTAATTAGTATTCTTTTACTTTAAAAACAATGTGAAAACCTTACAACAATATAATTCCTTTCACTTACGCTCTCACTGTTTGAGCTAATTTTATCGTATGTTTTACACCTTTGTATGTTGGAAACTCCACAATACATTGTTAATATATTTGCTTCAAACAGCCAGTAATATGTTAATAGCTTCCCAAGTACTCTGTTCCGTCTAGCCCTCCTGTGCATTGCATCTACAGAGTAGTCTATCTAATTTGCGTGTTTATTACTATCACTTGCTGAAATTCTTTTAATATTTCCTTCATGGCAAAATCCATGTTTTTAATATGTAATTTAAAAATAGGCAATGTGTTCATGTAATTTAAAAAACAAAAAAGTTTTAAAAGGTATTTAGTGGAGCCTCCTTGATCCCATCTTTTATCTATCCCATCTCCAGTGTCCATTATATCCCCTGCAATTTCTTTACAGGTTTTGTGTGTCTTTCAAGAGGTGGTAGGTTGTTTGTTGTTGTTTTTTGCAAGTATAAACACAAAATGATATATATGCTTAAAATAAACTTTTCATCTTCGCATGTACGTTTATATGCCAGGTTTTCTCCAACCTTGCCTTACGGCACTTTGTATACTGCATTCTAGCCATACTAAACTCTTGCAATTCCTGAGACATGCGCTGTATCCTATTTCTTCTGGTCCTTTTCTCATCGATTAACTATCTGGAGCATACTTTTAATTCAGTGTCTGCTTTGCAATCTTTACTTAAGTCCCAGGTAACCATTTTGTCATCTAGCATGCTTGCCCTGACATCTTACCTCTATTCCCCCAGGAATATTCACACCATTGGCTCTCAAATCTACATGTGCTATGAATTTCATCTGGTCTAGAGGTTGATACGCTTTTTTGCACAAGGCAAGCTAATTTAGGCTTTGTGGGCCAAACAGTCTCTTGTTGCTCACTTTTGCTGTTGTAGTGTGAAATCAGCCATAGATGTTTATACGCAAATGAATGTGGCCATGTTCCAATTAACTAACCTTTATTAACAAAAACAAAATGGGCAGGAATTGGCTTGTGGACTGTAGTTTACCAACCCCTGGACGAGGCCATGGGTTCTAGCACCCAGCAGAAGACTTGATCAATATATTTGTTGAATGGATAATAGCTGTGTAAAGTTCGTTATTACTGTTGGGAGTTGGCTTTGCATTCTGAATAGGATCTTCCTCCTGTTACTTCTAATCCAAGTATTTGTATGAGTTCTGTATTGGCAATGCAGTGTTTATCTCAAAATGTTCGGAAAGGAGTTAGACATTTCCTGGTAATGATAAATATTTTCCTCCAGGTGATTCCTAAAACAGATAGTATAAAATTCTGATTGTTTCTTGTTGGATCAGAGGAGATGCAGTCTGGCCTCTTACTCTCTTAGGTATTAGTTACTTTTTCTTGCTAGCCCCATGTTCTACCAAGAATTACTATCTAGGCCTAATGTGTATAAGCCAACTAAAGTGATAGGACATGCATTTTATGAGTGGCTATGCTCTGATCTCTCTGATCAAATAGATTTTAATGATCAAATAGATTTTGATGTAGAGTTCTGTGTGTATGTGCATGAAAGTTTTTCCTTAATCCTTTTTGTGTTGATGAATAGGGCATTTGTTCATAGCATTTGCTGTACCATAAAGTTTGCCAATAACATTTATTCTACCAATTTTCTGACTCAGGAAGTCGGATGACATTATGGTAGATCTGAAAGTGTTAATTTTTGTAGCACCATCCATATTCATAATTTATTTTACTTTTCCATAGGTATCTTGTGGCACATGTGATGTAGCTCTAATACTTATTGTTAGGGAGGTAGGGTAGTTAGTTGAAAAGGAAGTAGACATTTAAGACAGACTTACCACATGAGTTCATTTTAACATGTTTATTGAAAATCTGCTCTGTGTAGGACACTAATGTATAGGTTGGTGCAAAAATAATAGTTTTGCCATTACTTTTAATATGTTCAAGTACTTATATGTATAATTATACATATAAGTTCAGGTAACTTGTATGTAATACTTTTTAGGTGCTAATATGAGTGTACAGGTAACTATTACATGGTAATATGTAGCTGACAAAAAGGGTACAGCAGTCTCCATATATCCATGGCTTCAGTTTCCTAGTAGAAAATAAGCATAATGATAAGGTTTTTTAGAAGTTAAAGCAAGATGTGTGAAAATGCTTTGAAAAGTGGAAGGCATTATGCATATATGAAGAGATATTACTGGCATATGCCTTGGGGTATCACTTTATGGGAGACAAACACTGGCTGGGTTTTTTGCACATATTCCTTCTTTGAGAGCAGTAGAACTGTATGATAAGAATAAATAATAATGTCAGGTAACTTTTATTGAGTAGAGATTATTACATATCAGGAACAGTTCTAAACACTTTACACATACTGTTTAATCCACAGAACCGTGGATCCTGTGGATCCTATCTCATAGAATAATATCCTCATATTATCCTGATATACAAGATACTATTATTATCTTATAGTTGAGGAAACTGAGGCATAGGGATATTTCTAATAGTCTGGATTTAAACTCATTGATTCCAGAATGCCACAGTGCTCTACCAGTTCTCCTTATTTCTTGTTAATAGAGACAGATATTATGTGTTAATAGACACAGAGTTTCACCATGTTGCCCAGGCTGGTTTTGAACCCCTAGGTTCTACACAGCCTGCCTCAGTCTCCCAAAGTGCTGGAGGATTACAGGCATGAGCAACAGCTCCTGGCCTCTGTTACCATTTTCAGTGCTAGTTCTCTAATCACCTGTTCAGTTTTTTGTGCAGTAGTGGGTTTATTCAAAGTGTGTTTCTAGGGTAATTTTGTAATATGTATTTTATAATTTATTATTTTATCAAGCACCTCAGACGGTTTTGCTTGTGATCCAGGGATGACCAGGTATTAAGAAATTCTGTACCTGGGATACAGAAGAATACTGCACTTATTTCTTATTATTTTTCTCATCAGCACAAATGAAATCAACCTACTCTTGAGTTTCTGTCAGGTGCAGGCCTGTAGAGAATGTTGACCACTGCCTAGACTATTGTCTTATAGCAGAAAACAGCTCTTCCAATATCCATTTTATTGTTTAATACATTGTTTTGTTTTCTTTTATTTTCATCAAAGGCACACATGCACAAATCCTAGACAGGCTCCTTTTCTGTGACTGATGTACAAATGACCACCTTAGTTAAACCTGAACTGTTGTAGTCAAAGTGAATGCTGTGGGACCCAAGACTTGAAAACCATGAGTTGCTTGGTCTTCGGACTGTCTGGAGCCAGCAGGTGGCAGCAGGTCTACATACTGGTTTATAAAGACAGAATACACTACTTACAAGAAAATTTAACTTGTAGGTTTACAGTCGTTAATTTTAGAGAATGTCCCTTGGGAGGAAGTGTGCCAAGGAAGTAGAAAAGGCCTTGGGAAAGCAAAAAAGTGTTTAAAATTTGGTTTTTAAATATATCATTATTTTATATGATATTATGGCTCATTTTAAAGTAATGTGTTTCGTTTCTTAATATTTAGGAAATTATGTCATAATTCGTTTTCTGTTTAACTGAAAAGCTAATTTGTTTCTGCTACTAAAAGAGTGTCATCTTATATGCCTCTTTAATTTGTACTTAAAGGTCTAAGGGGCAGTTACTGGATTTCATTTGTAAGAATATACGTGTGAGGCTACATCTTGGAGTGACAGATTACAACCATTTGTTAGAGGAACTCAGTCGTATGTCAGTATGTTCATCTCTAGGCCTGAATGTCAGCTTGTTTTCACAGTTGAGTTAATTATTATGGGACCGCTTACTTATCTGTGTAGAGACAAAGGCAAAGTGTGCCCTTTATTCTTAGAAGGTTTGCTGAAAATCTCTTGACAAAAGGCAGATTAATATGAGAAAAAGGCATATAAATATATTTTAACATGTGTACATGGCGGAATCCAGGAAAATGACTACCCTGTAATCCAGTGGGGTACAAATACTTATATACCATTATTCATACCCTTCTTGTGCTTGATCAGTAGGGGACATGGGGGAAATGCGGGATAGCAAATGATTTTTAGGAA